GTTTTTTTAAGTTCCTTTTTCATGAGTTAGGAACACTTCATTTCTTAAAGTTTTCCAAGTCACAAAAACGCCACTTGTCCAAGAATCTGTACTCCTTGTCAAGGATATTTGGTTATCATATAAAAATAGAATACATTTCTGCCTGTGAATTTGGGATTTTCTTTTTACATCCAAGTCAAGCTAAGATATATTTAGCTTTCCATTTTGGCAAACATTAATTCCCTTTGCCTTGCAATTCCACCTCTAAGAATCTTGTCCTAAGGAAATAATCCAAGATACAGAAAAAGACTCATGTATAAAAGATGCTCTGTAGAGCAATTATTTAAGAAAAATTGGAACCAATTGTCTAAAAATAGGGGAACCTTAGGAAATTAAGTAAACTGAAAATTTTAAAGTATACGAGGTCTGTCCAGAGAGTATCCATGTAATATGAAAAATAGAGAGATTTATTGAAGATATAAGATACAAAAAACACTGTACATCTCTGTTGCCTTCAAAGTAAGCACCTTGGGACCTCACCAGTTCTCCCAGCATCTCTTAACCTAACCTATACACGTTTAACATTCTCAGGTGTTCTGCTAGTTGCAGGCCTTCCAGAACATGGATCGCTTTCAACAAATTCTTGACCATCTTTTTTTCCCTTTCTTTTCTTTTATGGCTCGCTGGATCTTGACCATCTTTGAAGCATTTGTGCCATACTTTTATTTGTGCTGCACTTATTGTATCCTCCTTGAAAGCCTTCTGAATCATCTGAATAGTTTCTGTGGAAGAATATTCAAGCTTAACACAAAATTTGATGCAGATTCGTTGCCCTACTTTATCAGTCACTTTGAATGCCATGGCCACACAGTACACACGCTCACTCAGTGGCATCTAGCGCCCCACTGACTAGTAGTGCCGTGAAGTCATCATTGTTCACACATGCGCATTACAGTCCACTCCCTTGGCTGCCAGGTTACACCGATGTTGCACAAACCGTTCTCATTATATTAACAATGGCTCGATACTTTCTGGAGAGACCTTGTATATTTGTAATCCCACAAAGAATTCTTGTGATAGTAATGGATAAAACAAGATTCTAAACTATAAATACAACAGATTTGCTGTTCCTTTTTAATATGTACGGAAATTATCAGTAGTGTGTCTGGGTGGTGATGTGATTTTTGTTTTCTTTATTTTTCTGTTTTCTATAATGAATGTATTTTATTTCTATGGCCAAAAAATAGTACTTTGGAAATATTTTCTTTATCCTTCCAGAGTCTCTGATTTCTTAGTCAAATATTTTTTATGATGATGCCACAATCACAATGGAGTTGTGACTCTTGTTTTGTTAACAGACCTCTGGATCTTACTACTAAAAACATTCTACTGAAAACATTCTACAGAAAACATTTTGTAAATGTCCCATTATAAAAATAAACATTTCTAAAAATTACACTTAGACTTTTCATGGCTATAGAGTTCTATCTGTACTATATATATTGCCTTATTAAGACTTTACTTTTCTTTGAAGGAGCTACAAACCTCACAGTATTAATGAAATCATACCTCAGGAAAAGCATATCATCTGAAAATAGGCCATTTATGACTCCACTTTCCTTCTCAAGGGCCAACATACTAATATGAAGTTTCTTTGAATTCAGGAAGTCCAAAATTAGCTTAATGATTTCAACCTCTTTTACATTCACTGTTTCTTCAGCCGTCATATTGATAGCCTAAATATGAAACAGAACAACCACCACCAAAAAGTTAGTCCTATTGTTTTATGTTTAACTGCCTGAAAACTACACATAACAG